CGCCTGCCCGCTTGTCTATTTACCCCGGGCTCGAGTTAGGCTGGCTCGCAGCTCTCCATTGTCATGGGTGCGCGGGCGAGACGGGCGCTGCCGGAATCGCGACTCCGAAAAGTTGAAACATTTTGCGAGGAGGGCCGATTCAATCAGGCCCTTCGGTACGTCGGGGCTTTTTACCCTATGTCGAGATCCCAGGACCTCAGGGAACCCCGGAGTTTGTGTGAGATTGATGGGCTCCGTCGTCTCAAAAAATCGTTCGATTGAAGCTTGAGAAGGGATGGCCCGTTACAATATTGAGCAGTAGCTCATTTCGGTGACATTGATAACGCCGATCCAATCGACGGCCTGGATCGCACAGGACATCTGTCAAACCTCATCTGCGCCGGCTTAGTGTGCCTGCCAATGCTCGCCTCTTGGCTGGCAACGAGCCAGGTTCACGTTGGCCGCGTCTCAGCCATGGACTCCCGGACTCCCGTGAAGCTGCCTGCCGCAGAGTCTCCGCACCAGTTGTGTTACGCGCTGCGACGTTCTAGACCTGACGGGTCCGTCATCCCGCCAACACTCTGGGAAGACCTGAATCTATTGGCGGCTGCGATCTGCTTCATAGTCCTCGGCACCCAGACACGGGACAGTCGGTCGGTGGCATTAGACATGCCGTCCCCACGTTCGCTTGCATGCGGAGATGCTTATGCGTAGCAACTGAGGCTCACCTCGTTCACCGGTTGATGGCCAACTCCAGACGATGTTACGGGGTGTCCTGGAAATGAGGATGTTCCCATGGAAATAACGTCTTCGTATTATCGCCAATCCCGCTTGACACGCTTAAGACAGTCTGATATGGCTGTCAGATTGCCACCCGTAAGCCAAGTGGCGGCCAGCCACTGCCGTCCTCGTCTCGCGAAGCGCTTCAGTCGATCTTTGGCAATATGGGGAAGGAAGACCCCATTCGATGGCACGTGGTCAGTGCCAGATCTTAGTTGAACGTTGCCTTCCGTTAGATCAGCGCTGGCTAATAACGTTTTGTTGGTGTTGGTTGACGCCCATGCGCCGCGACGCGCATTGCCACAACAGAGAGTGTGTGGGCTTCCACCAGGTGTGGCGGCAAGGCGGCTGCTCAAAGTAGTGATCTGCTTCCCGTCGTCCGGATCATCTCGCCGTGAGGTGGTGGGATTAGCAGGTACGGATTTCCAATTTGAACTGAAGCGAGCTGGTTTTTTGGGGGCGAGGTTTTATTTGGCTGGGGCAGGGATATGCGTCGGCACCGTGCCGGTTGGGAAAGGCAGGGGTTTTGGAGGGCGTTGTTGGTTCGCGTCGCGGTGGCGTTTCTTGATGTGGCGCGTGGTGAGGGTCGTGATCGGCGCGTGTGGTTGTGATATTCGAATTTCCATCTTAGGAAGCGCACACGTATCTGAGAAAATGCAGACGTTGCACAAGACTAATAGTGTTTGGGACTTTAGGATTCATGAGAATTCCGTGACTGAGCCATTGGCGACGCGTTGCCCACGTATGGTTGGCTGTGCCAGTTGCGGCTTGCTGAGTCTGATTCAACACTATCGATCTACCGTAGATGACGCTGGTTACGGCTTCAAATTGGGTTGGATATGAAAAATCATTGAAGGATAGAATAATGCGCACCATACAAAGAACATCAGCGATATTGCTCTGAGGTCTACCGACGCCTGTTTTCTGGTTGATGTCTACCTTTACCCCGTGATTGCAGTCTTAACAGCGACATAAATACTGAAGAACAACACACGCTGATCGGCACATCAAGAATGAGGTCGTCTTGGGCGTCCCTGATAGCTCTCAATTTGGTATCTGGCCGCTGGTGTGTTCGCGTTCGGTGGGTGACCTGCTGAGATGGTGCGTCGTGTGCTAGTTGACGTTGTTGAGTAGACAGGGCTCGAACTCCTGTTTGCTTTCATTGTTTCTGCAGTATTGTGTAGAATGAGCGAGAGGAGATGTTTAGAGGCAATGAAGATGGTGGTTGTGGTGATGGGAGTTTGCATTTACGGGTTGGCGAATGTTTTCTGGGTTGGAGGGGGGGTTTCACACCCATGAGAAGTCGATAGATGCTTTCGCAGCAGAAATTCTTCGCCGTGTCGGTATTCAAGATTGCAGAAGAGCCTTGGACAAGTTCGAATCTCTTGGAGACTTTATATCTGAATTGGTGGCCGGGGATTGTGTGCCTCTTTGTGTGAAAGGTTGGGTATAAATATGAGGGTTGAAGTTATGATGTGTGGAGAAACACTACAGTTTAGCTTGATTCTCTTCTCTCAGTACTTGGGGCGGCGTCGGTGGCATCTGCTTTAGAACCTGAGCGTTGGGTTGTTAGTCACTGCAAGTAGCCGAGGCGCTGGGTTCGGTCTTCTTCCTGCGGTGCTGTCTTGGGTTATTCATCCTCGCGGAATACCTTTGGGACGACTTAGTTGATTGAAGAGAGTAGGGGGGCTGGAACATGCTGGGTATACCTTGTGATGCCAGAGAACGAGGTCTTTGAAGGTTTTACAACCTGCAGAACAATGTGCAATAGAAGCCATCATTATTGCCTTTGTTGAGTAGTCTACTGCTAGCGGGTGGTTCTTGTACTATGACCTGATTGAGTGAGGGTCTGCCACCCCTGGTGTCAGTTTTCATGGGTTTTTGTGTAAGGTTAAAAGCTATGCCACGTATGACAGAAGATGGCTTGCAGGCAAGACAATCCTTGACATCGGCGTTTTAGTTACTGCTTAGAATGGGGGGACTGTGACATTGTACAGCTATTGTCTTTTGTAATGAGACATCGTTATTAGTAACCCACTAGACGGGTTGATTCCGTTGGTGTCTGGATATTCGCCTAGCGAATGAATGTATCGTAAGAGGGATGATAGCAAGTAGTGTTGCTGGTCACATTGATGAACAGCCGTTAAATTTATCAGCTTCTCCATGTTTCGGGTGGATCATTGGACGAAGATAATAGGCTGAGTTATCTACTTGGGACCTAAGAAGTGTGAAATATAAACCTTCGCTGCAATCTTTAAACTTGACTGATTTCAAAGTATTCGTTTGTATGTTGTGGAAAGGATCAGTCACTGCATCGTGCGAGTTATCCAGCCATCAAAATTGTATGCCCGCAGGCGGTGACCTGCGATGCGAAAGCATAAACGAAGAGCTAGAGGAGAACAAGGAGTGAGTGCGTGTGAGCACTCTTCATAGTCTGGTAGTGAAAGAGCATGATTTAAGGAAACAGTGTTTGGGGCTTTCACAGAATCTTTTCGTGGGTTCTACATGATAGTTCGAGACATCGTCCAGGTGGTCTCAACTGATAACGTCTCTCCATCTATTAAACCTAGAACTTTCTTGTCTTTGCAGAATAATCTCCCATCGCAGGGCTTTTGAGAGACTGTTGATGAATAGTTGAAAAAGAACACAGATGGTGGATGGTTGAGCGGATGTATTGATATGCCTTGATTTTGCCCGCGGGTGGGCGAAGCCCCTCCAACATGCAAGTCTCTAATCTTAGGATAAACTCAGATCCTCTTGACGAAACAGCAGTCCAAACATTCCAAACCTGGAGAGGTATTCATCGGCCTTTGTACCGGACCATTGACGATCAATGTAGTCTCGAAGGTTGTTTTGAAGCCACAACACCTCACGACGACAATCGCTGGAATCATAAATGCAACCCGTATAAAGTTTAATGGGTATTGTAACGTAGCTGCGGTTGTTGGTGTCCCGGAAGACCGTAGCGCGTGAGGTGTAGGACTTGTCGAGGACAGTCGGCTCGCTTTGCCTGGGCCTACTCACTATCCACACACTAATGCCCGAGTTCAACCACGACCTGATGAGGGCAAACAATGCCAACCGTCTGCTCGAAAAACTCCGTGGTGCAAAGAAATAATAGTTTGGAGCCATTTCGATGGCGATGTTTTTGGGATGGCCATATCGGTCTCTCAAAAGAGACAGGGGGTCCAGGTGTGGATCATGTTCGCGAGTGAAAGAAAACTCAGTATCTGAAGGAAGGGCGGTCCCATTGATTTTAAGGTAGATAAGATCTTGCGAAAGGCGTAGACGTATTTGAACTCTTTCAGACTCTTTCTTTGCGGTCAAAGCCGTAAATGGTCGTTGGCTGTGGACACTTGAGCCGGCAGGTGCAGATGCAGCTGTGGTCTGGGTCGGGGCGTTGTCAAGAAGCTTTACCACACGAATGCAAGCGGTCCGAGCCTCTCTGCAAGCAAACATGACGCTCTGAAGGCTATAGACTGAGGGATTTTCGTTGAACCACGACCTTTTGAGGGGTGTAGTGTTGTTTGGGTCGAAAGATGGTGGTAGCAAGCGAGGTCCTCGTTGTGTTGGTAGTTCATATCGAGGATCCACTTCAACACAATTTGACGAGACTCCTTCAGTACTGGAATGATGTACGGAGAGATAGTTGACTCCATTTTGAGGAGGGGTTACTACCGTCTCCCAGATTTGATCTCTCAACTCCGGGGGCAAAGAGGAGAAAAGGGGAAATCCGACTTGTGGTGTATTAATGAGCTGGGCCTCCGTCGTGAAATATTTCGTGTTGGTGATTTCCGCAAAGACTGGGCGGAGATTGAGGGGCAGATAGAAACTGAGTGTAGGTGCCAGACTGTGCAGTGGGCACATTATGTCAAAAGCTCTTTTCCCTTGCGGGTTAGGACCCAGTCGCTTTTTGAACCCTTCCCCAAAGCAGCGCCACTTTGAACATCAAGGTCAGTCCAAAAGTCAGTAATGATCACGTGAATAGGCAATTGGTCGAGCAAGCCCAGAGAGGTTCTGTGTGTTGAAACCTCAGCCATCAGTCGACAGGATATGTAGGTGGACCAGAGGGGACATGTTGAAGTGGAAACACTCTCCTGCTGAATGCCGAACTCAGCGAATTATCATAAAGACCTCTAGTTGGTAATATTCAGAAATGGCATGATGCTCTCGTCAACTGGCCTGGGCCAGACAGCTCTTTACGCTGATAAACGTTTTATCTACCTCCAGCCCGACTATCTTCACGATTGCGAAGTCGCATTGGACCCCACAGTGCTGTTAGAGTACTCCAACACCCACTTCCCTGTCTCATACACGTCAAAGCTTTCCTCCTTAGACGGGTCTGCGTTCAACTTCTGCGCCTTCACCCGCCAGATGTAGCTTCCAGCCGGGATGAACGTCTTATTCGCATCAGAACCATCCCAGTACCAGTTGCTTGCACGGCCCCAAACAGCATCTGATGTTGTCTGCCACGACTTGGCAACTTCCTTTCCGGAATCGGCATCCACGATGTAGATGCTCAGGTTCCGTGTTTGAACGAAGAGCGCGATCCAGACTCCGGGAAACATGTTGTCGGCGAAAGATGCGGGGACGTCTTTGCTGGTGTCCAGGGTGCAAGTAAAGACGCGGCCCTCTTCCATGCGCACCGGCGATGAAGACGTCATGTTCCACATCATGAGATATGATGTATTCCGCTTGATGATGGGGAGTGTTGCAAGAGGAGCGCCGAAGCCGGTGTAGGGCAGGGTCAAGTTGTTGACGTCGGCTGAACCCTCTGCCTCAATGGCCACATAGCCGCCGAAGAAGGATACACGTGTCGCGGCTTCAGGAAGGCTCGGCTCTTTGGTGAGTGCAACGGAGACAGTAGATGATTTACCAGGCTCAACCTTGATGGTCGCTGGGGTGACCCTGACGTCGGCGTAAACTGCAGTGGCCTCGCCTTTAGTGAAGTTGTAGCCATTGGCTTGCTTGAGAATGTAGCCGGATGCTGCACCGACGTGGCTCAGGTGGTACGTAATGGCCTTGGTTCCCGTGTTCTTGATGCTGAAGCTGAGTTCTTTGGGGCGGTTGGCCGTGTCGTTGAAGGAGAGCGCACCGGTGCTGAGCACTGTTGTGGAATGTACTGCGTTCCACGCATCTAAGAAACCACCTCCCTGTTGGAAGACGGGAGCCAAGAAGTCTGAGACCGCGCCCTTGCCGTCGTTCCACTTGACCGGACGAGCGGTGGTGGCAATCACAGCCTGGATCTCTTCGGGAGTGTAGTCGGGATGGTTCTGCCTCACGAGTCCGGCAACGCCGGCCTCGAATGGAACAGACTGACTGGTACCTATTGCGGATTGTCAGTATTAAACCGCCAATCTTGAGAGCTGTTCCACTTACCACTCACGACGCCGTAGCCTCCGTACTTGCTAGGAAATGTGCTGATGAGGTTGCCGCCAGGGGCAAGGACGAGGGGCATAGCGCCTCCAGTAAGGGTCGGGCCCCAACTGGAGAAACTCGAAGCAAAGTCACCCGTGAGATTGTTGGCCCTGTTCTCCAGCTGAATATTGGCAATCGAAGCCTCGTTGGCGAGATAGACCTTCGAGGCAGGGCTTTTTTGGAACGCGTTTAGTAGCTTGACTCCAACGTCATATTCTACTGTAGCAATGCCCTTGAGATTGGGATCCGAGCTGTCTTCGTAGAATCCGGGACCGTCTGCAACAGTCCAGTTCTTTGTGGCGTAGTAGATAATGTAGGGAATTCCCAAGGCCTTCGTAATGGAAGCATCCGCACCACTGGCATCTGTCCAGCATTGCGAAAGCGAGGCGAGAATGACAGTATTTGAAAGATCAGTCGGCAGGTCTGTCGGACTCGGAAGTGGCTGACAGTCAGTAGAGGCATCAACTTCCTTGTTAGGGGACCAGATGGTCAACTGGTTGTTCGCAGGAAGATCATATGGCAGACCAGGGACGAATCGGATCTCTCCACCATCGGTACCAGAGGTCCAGTTGCCTTGCCAGGTGAGGTATGGGGTGACGGTATTGTCCGTGGAGCCGACGGATGTGATAGCATCTGCCATGCCGGGGCTGACGCCTGAAAAGACCCCAGGGCCTCCGTTGCCGCTTGGAAGTGAGACATATGTGCCGTTCTTAAAGAGGCGCGTAGCTACAGCAGACCAGGGATCTTGCGGTTATCAGCGCTAACGCGTCAAATAGGGTTTTGATGAAGAACCTTACCTTCAGGGAAGGCTTGACCGCCACCAAAAGAGCAAGAAATAGCATCAACACCCCGATCAGCAGCCTCCAGAAAAGAGTTGATCAACATATCGTTAGTGCTGCCTCCGTTGCAAGGCTGAATGCGATAAAGCTCGTAGGTTGCATCAGGTGCCACGCCGAGAACACCGTAGCGAGCTTCGTCCCCCTTGGCAGCAATGACACCCAGAACGTGAGTGCCGTGAAAAGAGCAATTGTCACGGACGTCATTATCGTTGTCTGTCAAGTCATGCGCATAACCAACGTCCACCTTGCTGAGGCCCGGGACGTCTACGTCGAAGCCACTGTCAATGACAGCAATGCGCACGCCTTTGCCGGTAAAGTTGGCTGCGTGAAGCTTGGCGACGCCAGTATCAACGTGTGTGGATAAAGTGTCGCCTGCTCCGTCTCTGGCATGGAGTTGTGGCAGGCCGCGCTTGATGTACGTTCCAAAATCACGGTGGATGCGTCTGTCGTTGTAGAGAGTTGGCTGGACATTGATGACCGGCCAAGCCTTCTTAACTCCATCGATACCCTGAACAGTCGCAAGAACAGACTTTTGGGCGACTTTGTCGCTATTGCATTCTAGGTTGAAGGAGGCCCCCTGGAATACGGAGTGAGTGAAGTAGTATCGTTTTGACGCGGTACAATCTAGGCCAGAAGTAGCGAGTGAAGTCTGGACTTGGTTGTTCAAGTTGTCGGCGGTCTACCGCAAAGTTAGACCTATCCAGAAGTTTTATGAAAACAATTCAAAGTGTTTATCCTACCAACTGAGTTGATCCGTCAAATTCAACCACGAACGCATCCTTGTAAGCGGCAGCCGCCAGAAGAGGAAGGCAAGCCGCGATGGCGGCTTGCGTAAAGAGGGACTTCATCCGGGGCTGAGAACGAGTGTGAGAGTCAGAGAAATGACAGCTGAGGCTGACGGCCAGGATGTTTGACAGCCAAGCACAGGACAACAGGTGATTTTGTACAAGATGCTGAGACTGACTCGTGCAACTATCACGAACCCCCTAGCGCAGGGGCCAATACGATCGCTCTCGCATATTTCTCTAGTTTTCCCATTGGTCGAACTCTAACATATTGGTTACAATTACCGGACCATCCGTGATAGGTCTCTACCGGATTTTGTGGGTACAAAGCATTTAATATGGGATGAACTGCGCCCGAGGATTCGGGTCAGTCGGCTTATGCTTATGGTCAAGTGCTGGGCTTCATAAAGACGGACAAATGGTCTGCCATTGTCCGCGCCCATCGTTCCATTTCCTCGGATACCTGAAATAGTTTATGAACCAATATCTCATGACAAGAACAGTACTTCAAAGACTGGGATCGCAGGCGTATCTCTCCAATGACTCCTCAGAGCATACATACCCCGGCCACGGCGCATCCCACGGCCCTTCAGCAATCTCATAGTTGTGGAACTGCGGCGTCGAAGTCCAGCGAAACAAGTCTTCAATCGCTGACGCAACCCGGATTAATCGCGCCTCAGAATATTGCCGGCCATAGACACAAATACCGAAGGCTGCGCCGTATCCGCTCTGACCGATCGGCACCGACGCAACGGGATATCCAGCATACGAGGGGATCGAGGCACAAGCATTATCATGGCCACCAGATGGATCATTCGGCACCAGCAAGCCGTCAAGTTCAATCACAGTGCCGTTCTCGAGCGTGTACGCATGTCCGCCATCAATGACCTCGCGAGCGGTCCTTCTGCCCCACCCGAAGGCTTTCCAGAACTCGTCGCCCATGGTTCCATTCGTTGCGATGGCGTTGTCGTAGAAGTCTTGCCCCGAAACCGTGTTGTACCACCAGGTACTGTTGCCAAGGGCGCCAGTAGTGTCGTTGTGTGCATCATTCCACGCTGCCATTTCCGCGAGACTGCTCATTCCATGTCGCTCGTCTGATTCGGGAAAGGTCCAATTTCGGAGAAATTCGCCATATGCCACGGCAAGAAGGGTGTTGTAGGCAATGAGCTGACCATATTCCTCAGGAACCTCAGCCGGCTGACCAAAGCCGTACTTGTTTGCCACGTTCTCAATGTGAGCAATGTCCTAGATATTGCATTAGCTGGGGCGATGGCGCAGACTCAGAGAGGGCCTACAGTGATGTTATAGATCTCGGCTCCAGCAGCTCTCAACTCGTGGACACGGCTTTCATATGCCTCGCGCTGGCCCGGCGAGTTTATGCCCTAGGATCACATAAGTCAGCATTGTAACGGCTGTGACCGCGGTAACATACACCAATCGTGGACCAATATGGATTCCAAGGGAGACCGAGTTTCATCCCTTGAAGAGAACTCTGATCCGTGACCTCAGCGGCATATCCGTTTTTGGGATAATTCCCAAGAGCGTCGAATGTTAGATTGTCGAAACGATCGGGTCCGGCCATGATATCGAGCAGAACTGCAACATCGCGCATCGAGCGAGCCATAGGTCCTGGCGTGTCGTGGTAGAAGCTTCCAGGGACAACACCGTGGCGGGATATCAGCCCAGGAGTTGTCTTGATCGTGTAAAGCCCCAGTAGCGCAGCAGGGTGAACCAAGGACCTTAGATGTCATTGTCAGGATGCGGGCCTTGAAAGGAAATTCAAGCTGAACTCACCCGTGAGTTTCGGTTCCTAAGGCAATCGTCGCCTGGTTGCTTCTTACTGAGACTGCAGAGCCACCACTACTCCCGGAAGTAGGTTGAGTAAGGTTAAAGGGGTTTCTTGTCTGCCCTACGCGAGTTGAATAGCCATCAGAGAAGTTTGTGAGCGCCCGATGGTCAGCAGCCTCTGAGAGAGCGGTGTGCCCCAGTAGAACACCACCTGCTTGGCGTATCTTGGTCACGATGGTTGCTTCAGATGAATATCTTCCACCAAGTAAAACAAGACCGCCTTCGCTCGTGTTGTGTTTGTCGTCGGTGTAGATGTTATCTTTAACCATAAATGGAATGCCATGCAACGGTCCCCTGATCCCTTTGACATTTCGCTCATCGTCTAAGCTAGCGGCGATGGCTGGGGCGTCGGGGTTAACTTCGCTAACCGAACGAAGGACTGCGTTTGTTTGCTCAATACGAGCTACATAGCAGCTTACTAGGTCCTGGCTTGTGAGATTTCCTAGAGTCATCCAGCGCTGAAGAGTGCCGATCGTCGCGTCTTCGATGTCGATTCCCTTGCAGAGGGGCACTATTTCAGTCCGGTTAGATTAGAATCAACACGTTTACGACGCACGTACTGGGAAACGGCGGGTCTTCGCCACGCGGCTCATTGAACAGCGAACATACAACACCCGTGGCCAAGCTACACGCTAGCACAGCGACTTTGACGAGCGATCCCATGCTGACAAAAGCCATCCCTCAAGCCTAACCTTGAATCAGACGTCAAAAACATGACATGGCGTCTAATCTATTGGGCAGAACGATGTTCTTTCAGATTTATAAGTAATCCGCCAAGTCTTCTTCAAATTTGCTGCGGGCCTTATCAATGGTCATCACTTAGATAAGTTGCCGTCGCCGATACCATCGACCCTGGTCCGGTTCTCTCGGTGAGAGGACTGATAAGGGTGCCGGCGCGGCATTCAGGTGGGGCCGGGCATCGGAGAGTCAACAAGCTTAACCTAACTTGTGTCTAGCCGGCGGCTACAGCTGCCGTTTCTGCGTTGGTCAGGGATCTTCATCCCTCCGGTATCTGTGGAGCCTCAGACGTCGGACATAATCCCGATTTATTGTCCTTGAAATGCGGAGCTTATCTGCAGTGGAGTTCTCTGGAAGGTGACACGCTTGACGCGAGAATCATGATGACCAAAAGCCTTGCCGCGCCGTCATAAATCTTATTCTCCCATACCAAAATTTCACGGCCTCGGTTGAGCACCTCCAAATACCAGAAATAGTCCACGGATTGGCCAAATGCCTTCCGAGATCAAATTCAGTCTCTCCCAACAGCCCACTTCGTTGCGTCCTTCAGCCATGCAAACACCATTTCTGTTCCATTCAAGACATTCCTTGCCATAAGACCCTTCTTCGGGTCTCTTTCGGGACCCGGGTCATTGAAAGTCTGCACCAAGCGCGTATTATTCTTGCCAACCTCTAGGATGGAGCCGCTCGGGACTCCGTCATCCTCGGCGCACCGAAGCATTGCCTCGGCGACCTCTTCCGGAGTTACCCAGCCGTCCTGGCTCTCGTCCAAGTTGATAAGCTTCTCTGGATGCTCCGTCCATAGAGGCGTACGGACAACGCCAGGCGCGACGGCATTGATGCGGACTCCATCCGTTTCCTCCAGCCGAGCTAAACTCCGGACAAAGCCGGTGATGGCGAACTTGGACGCGGAGTAAAGTGGGGCGTTTATGTTCGGCACCTGACCCGCGACGGAAGAAATGTGGACAATTCGCTTGGGGTTGCCTGGTGAGGCCTTCACAGCAGGAGGGAGCTTTGCGTCCGTGACTTCTTTTGGGTGAAGCCAGTAAGAGATCGCCAGCTGTGTGGCTCGAATCGGGTGCGTGATGTTGATATCCAGCAGCTTGTAGTGTCCTCCGTCAACGCTGTCCTTGCTCTCTGATGACCCTGGAGGATGCCAAAAGTTCGACCAATGCGGCTCATATACGCCTGCTCCAGGACAGAGAATGTCGAAATTTCCAAACTCGGCGAGAGTCGCGTCAAACATTTTCGACAGCGCTGGCCATGAGGTGACATCAGTCTTGACGAAAATTGCTCGGGGACTGCTATTGTGCTTGGAAACCAGCTCTTCCGCTTCAGGTCTCAGAGCCAGGTCGGCAATGACGACATTGCAGCCACGCTTGAGAAGCAGCTCAGCAAAGGAAAAGTTGATACCTGCGTGCGGCGTCAGTGTCAACGCGTTCCTGGTGTCGATTTGTGATGTGACCGACCGGAGCCTGCTCCCGTGACGATCGCCGTCTTTCCAGACACGCTGAAAGGCGTGCTTTGCTTTGGTGTGTTGGCAGCCATACCGTATGTTGGTTCTTTTTAATACAATAAGACCACGGATTCTTGAATGTTGAAAAAATAATCTGATAGTTTTGAGATGAGTGAAAGTCTAAGTTGGTATATCTCAACATAAAAAGGACCCTGGGGTGGGTTCCCCTCCCGCTCGGTTTTCTTGCCGTCCAATATCCGGGAAACTTGCCTTTTCAGATGACCAAGGGCGGGGTTCGACTTGCGTATGTTTGAGGCTCTTATTGGACGGCCCTAAAAAGACGCCTTTCGGATGCCATTTCACCGAGTCAACAGGGCAGCTGAGACATACGCACGGCGAGTATCGCTCCAACGCCCCCACGATGCAGCTTGACGAGTGAGGGGAAGCTACCCCGCAACCCCGCAGCGAGACTGTTTGGCCAGGATGGCCAGCGGGAAACTGTAACCCTCAAGCCTCGGAATTAACGGGCATCATCAAAACAGTAAGCGAGAAAGAAAAGAGTTGGTATTTTCGAATAAAACTCCGGATCTAAACTCCTTGCGAACTCCGCTGGGTATCTGGTGTCATCAGCCGTTGAACGCTGTCAACCACGGAGCTAAGCTTTCCCAGAGAAACAACGGACGATGTCGTCGAAACTCGCGCAAACAGACCCAGTGTTGACACCAACTGTTTGAAAGTCGTTGCCTGATCAGGGTGCAACCGAGCAAAGACTGCCGTAATGCAAAATGAGCTTACAGCGACTTGAACAAAGTGGCTAGGGTTATGATGTTTAGTTGCCATCAAGTGGATGCAGGAGGAGGGTTTCAAACCTACCGGTCCATGCTGGTTGTGCTGGGATCCATATTGACAATGACGTTAAGAACCTCAGATGCGAATTGCGCAACAATATGCTCTGACTTTTCAAGCCCAGAGATGTCCGCACCCGCTTTTTGAAAGAGTCGTGCGTACGCGAAGAGAGCCATTTCGAAAAGAAACAACTTGGATGGGTAGCTGGAAACAGGAACCGATAATTTTGATGTGTCTGAATGTGTACTGTTGGGAGTCCAAGCAAAGAGATGGTCTTCCCACCTCCTTGTCTCGAGCACTTCTGAGTTGAATCTTTGAAGAACCACAATCCATTTCTCGGCACGATCGCTCACTTTTGCAACTGAGTTCGGATCACTAACGTCACCTGCCATGTGTAGATCTTCAGACATGCGAGAGCAGAGCTGGGATAGCCGGCAATGAGCGTGGAAATCTCGAAAAGTTGCAGTGACACCGGGTTTGTCGCATTCGCTTAGTGGGTCATGGTCGATGAAGGCATCGCTTAATGACTGCATATCCATAGTGTTAGAAAGGAAATATGCACTTCTTCACAATCTCCAGAAGACTCGACGGCAAACACTGACAGAAAATTGTCCTGATCGCATTCTAAATGCCTTTTCGATGCAGTATAAAAGCCAGAAGGCTTGTCGAAGTTGATGGATCTCGCTTTCAGTCTGACATAATTGACGGATCGAAGCGATGCTGTTGAGTCTTAAGGCCTGGGCGCAGGAGACGCAAAGACCCAACATGCATGAGGTCTGCTCTACCCTATATTGCAATGTGGCGATAAGCTTCGAAACTTATCATTAGCTTGTGCTGTTTCAAATGCTAGTGAATAGAAACTCACCGTCGTGAGTAAAGCCTGTGAGACAATTAGAGCCGGGACAACATGGGAGTTCGGGGTCACAGATAGGTACCTTGAAGACCAAGATCGATGGCCTGGCAACAAACATCTTCTCCACTGCCAGCAAGGCCTCCTCATAGTGTGAACTACCGCCGGTATCGTTGCTAGTTGTCGGGCTGGAGCGACTGCTCTTTGAATAGTTGAGATTGCCAATGGCCATGGACGCAAAGACCAGAGCTCTCTTCGCCGGATCTGTAACACCCTCTAGGATAATCTCCTGGTAAAGACGAGATATCTCAATTTCCGATACATAAATGGCTCCCCTAAGTCAAATTAGAAGCAAGCACGTCATATCTGAAGCCGAGACGTACAGGTATGGACGAGAAAGAAACGCTGCGCGACGTCTGGTCAGTACAATGCTGAGGAAGAGAATATCTTGCATCGGTACCTTGGATGAACTGAAAGTGGGTATCGACATGGGGCGAAGGTATGCTCATATTGTCGAACAGATTGAGATATTCATGAGTCGCAAAACACTCCTCGACAACTTCAAGCAAACGTGCGATGAGTTCGCTGGACGTTTCGTTGAGGTTTCTCCGTCTGTTTAAGAACAGCTTTACCATATCGAGAGTGGGACTGGGAAGATGGTATGGGGCTTAAAGACGATTCAGCGAATGTTCTTTCTGAGGATATGGCCAAGACCCACAATGTGAAGATGCTGGTAAGGCGACAGTGTGATTAGCCTCGAAGGCATCTAGTTGCTGTGACGACATGTCGAAGTCTACCCAGTTTACAGGCGACAGTTCACAGAAAGATGCCGACGGATTTGCTGCTTGGTCCTGTACGTAAGAACCGGATGGCCAACCATTTTCTAGAGTTTCGGTTCCAGGGCTCGTAGTCGTATCAATGTTGCTCAATAGTCCAATGTTCTCTGCAGAGCTGAGCGACCTGTTTCCTAGGGAAACCCAGATATCATCTTGGGGCGCCAAAGAGTGAGAAACCGTGGTACTTTCAAGAAGCTGGTCGATTCCAGAGAGCGATGAAGGAGTAGAAGAACTCGCTGCATAGATGACGTGGTCCGCTGTCGTCGAAGTCACTATTGAGTGTGATGCATGAGCGTTCAAGTCGTCAAATGATTGTCTTGCTCTAATGGATGAGCTTTGACCTAAAAGTCGGTTATTATCGGTAGTGAACGTTGAAGAAGATGGCTGCTTAATACTGCTTTGGCTCGATCGGCCCCTTTTCTTCGGGGTCAAATAGACACAATAAGATGCTGAGGACTACAAACAGTCAGAAAGGTCGACTTCATTTGCGAAAGCTACACAGGTGATGCTTACGAGGCACTTTTCGCAGCTTGGCCTGCCTCCATCGCCTAAAAATTGTAAGACGACATCCAGGGTATTCATCGAAGATTCTGAGTAACTTGACGTACACTTTCGCTTTCGGATCTTGCATGTCTCGCATGCGCCAGGCCGGCGCTTATACACTCGCCCTCCCGCTTCAACTGAGTTTGTTGTGGTTGGTGAGGACATGGCATGAGAGCCTGGTTACAGACGCGTCGGCTCAATTCCTCTTCGCAAAGATCATTAAATCCGAGAACTGCGACGTTGGAATTGAGGGGCTCCAAATGAACTCTTTTGAATCATCCAACGGTCGTATGATGCGGCTGGTGACCCCCGGGCCGTAATACCCGAGTAGGGTCGCTGAGTGCCACTTGCGAATGACATTCTGGGTCAATCCTATGAAGGAATCCTTGCGTGGCGAATGAAACGAAAGCTCATGGGTCTCGCTCTCGCCTTGCGCGCAACATCACAAGTGCCTTTGGAGGGTGCTGTGAAACCTAGTATTGAATACGTCCTTAGTGCTAGGTTTATGGATGAAGCAGCCAGTCGGAACTGAGGCCCGTTGTTCTTTGGGAATTCTGCCCTTACCTTGAATAACCTTGAAATCTTTATGCAACGATGATTCTAAACCCACTAGATCTAGTCAGCGGATGGCTTCTGGACGACACTTGGGACCAAGGAAATGGCGCCCGCATCCCGTCTCGGAGCTGACCCCACAACCCGCAGTCACTGCAAATATCACTGATGAAGAAATTCGGTGGTCTGATCATATTAAAGGTTGTCGATCGTTGTGGTAACTCACCTGGACACTGTTTCAGCCGAGGGCGCTGTTCACCTGATGCGCCCTATGCGATCCGCCTCGTCGACGATGATGAGCATTTAGCTGATCATTTGAAATTTCATCTGCCCAGAGGCCAATGCGGATAATTTTAGACATGAACCAGTTCGGGGACTAACTTCGGTTCTAGCCTCAACCCCATAATTCGGCCGTGAGAGGAGCCGTAATGAACTTTGCTCATTGAGAGATTCCATCCAGCTTCGAATCATTCCTTAACTCCCTTAGGTACGCGCAATTATTCTGATTCACTAAGTGGGTATGGCTAGGCACTCGCCTGGGTCCAAATTCAAAGTTGCCTGGACCCTGAATGGACTCTGGACAGCTCGGAAGTCCGAGGTTCACGACATTGGGATGAGTGGCTCTCATGTTAACGCTAGTTAACTCAATGGCTGGTGACAGTGTTCAAATAATTGGCTGAGAGGCAATGGGCCGACCGACTTGCCGTGTTTTCTATCCGAAAGACCTCAAAACAGAATTAAGCCTCCCGCTAGGATCTGAACCTGGATTCACAATTTCAAAGGTTAAGCTGACTCGGTCGTGGGGTTGGCAACTTTGCACCTTAAAAAGGTCAGTGCAGGAACTAGCATCCTTGTCATGCAACTACCCCTCACCAACAGATTTTCGTAGAAGACTGATATTTAAACTTTGACGATTGCTTTGCCTTTGGAATTAAGCTGCCATCGTGGCGTGATCTCATCCTAACTGATTGTCGCTGTGAACGCCTTTGCAGTGTCAAGATCATCAGCGTTGCTGTCAGAAAAGACGTTGATCATATCACCATCAGCCCTACCTGAGCTCTTGGTGTCTTCAGGTCCCTGATTCAGGAGCTTAGTCTTATCCCGTTCTTCTAAGAAGCTGGACTGAAAGGCCGCGTAAACCCAGCTCACCCGTCCCTCACTGTGGCCCGCGCGGGAAAGCATTCCGCGGAACATCAGTTCGGTCTGTCCCTTAACTTTGAGGACTACCCTGCCGGCAGGCAAGCGACCCCACATCAATCTGATATATCCTGTGAAAGTCGATATTCGACCTCTCGCCAAGACCATACGATAGCTAGCCCTGGGAAAGTGGCCGGTTCACCATGAGGCTATGCCTATCAACGTTCGAGAACACTAGGTGTCTTTCCATTTTGGGGTCAAGTCCGGTCTTGAACCAGGGCTGGCCGTTGCTGGGATTTCCGGTGGCATCGGAAATGTGGTCTAACTTCTTACACTAGTGCTGCTAGTGAATTGACGGGCGTCTATTCGTTGGCATTGCGGCCCGGAATTCCCGTATCGATGCGTTCTTTGGCTGATACGACTCAGGGAACCAGATGCCTTTACCCCTCGGATGAATCGCGGCCCATCTGAGCTACGGATGACGATCGGTGTATGGTGCATTGTCATGATCACATGTTCTTTGTAATCAATCGTGATGATTGATAATTTCGGCGAAAGTTTCTAAAATCGTTGTACTTCTCGTCTCTGGTGGATAAGCAATGCGGCAAGAGAGCGGAAAAGCAGAACACGATGACGAAAAGAATTGGAAGGTTGGTCCGTATGTCACTTGGGTGGTGATGCACGAAGAGCATCATGCCCGACCTGTCCATTGTCTATGTCGCAAACAGCTTTACGGAGTCCCCATCAGGCGCCCGTAGCTGTTGTCTATGGAGCCTTCTGAATAGAAACCAGATAAAGTGCGCGGATAACATGCACATAACGCAGAATCCAGTACTGTTGCCGATTCCAACCAAGAAACGTGGGCTCTCAGAATCAGGCCCTAAGTAAGCTGTATAAATATTTGCTGCGACTGCAGAAAAGTTGACGATAGCCATCGTATCAAGACCTGCGAAAATGCCCGTATTTGTTGGCCCCGGAAAGGCACTGAGCTGCCCGCAGTACAGTATGGCCAGGTGCGTCGCAAGCTGAAGTGGGTCAGAGTTTGGTCTTTAGAAGGCATGGATAATCTCTCACCTCGGAGTTCGTATAAAATGGGCTCAACAGGTAGATGGCGCCTGGGTAAAAGGGGGCTTTGAACCACCCGAGCAAGAGCCTCAGAACAAGGAGGTGGACGTAGTTGTCTGCCATAGCCGTGAACGCGGAAACTATGGCCCAGCCACACATTCAAACACCCATGTATATAGACGGCCGAACTCACGTCAAGATCATGTTCGATGGGGTACCGTCAGTGAGATATCCAACATCAAGGATAGATATGCAGGTGCTGTATTGAGTGCCCTGCAGGCTGAGATCATTCGAAAGCCCGTTGAATTTGGCTTGGGGCAGTTCATTCCGATCCCCGAGGAAGGTTAGTCAAGATCTTCGTAACAACAAGATCATAGGGTCCGCTTATAATGATTGAGCAAGTACAAGATGAAAAATACTGGCTCCATGCGATAGTCTAGTTTTTGTAACAAACATATCTGAGCGATAGGGTCTATGTTGAAACCCTGGGCGTTCCCCGCTTTCTCCTTGTCTTCGTGTTCAACCTCGATGGTTGAGGGTTTCGTCAAGTCAGCCATGATGGATTTCAAAAGATGGCAACGATTTTGGAGACACTGTCAATATCATTGGGCGAGACCTTGGAATAGACGACAATATCGCAAGCAAACAATTCTGAGATTCACCCGTCGGAATGTGAAGATGATGGGGTCGGCCCATCCGTATCACGCCCCATCCCCTTACTTCGTATCCCGTACCCCATATCCCACGCCCAATACCCCGCGATTGCTACGTCCGCATCACGGCGAGAAGGATTGGTCAGTTCCCGCAGACCGCTTGTCTCTCTAGCGTTGGTGGCGTGGTTCTTTATCAGATGCGGGTGCTCGCCGAAGGAGGAATTGCTGAAGGTCCTGGCTGTCACTACTTTCATAATCTCCAGCTCTCCAGCTCCGTCTCATACGACTCTGCTAGTTGACATGAATTCCACGATGCCACATTCATTCTTGACCACTTTCCAGTGTCCGTCAACTAGATTTTATTATGTCCACATCCTCATACCCTCATGTTTGAAGATCGCTCTTACTGAAAATTTCTTCATGTCTCATTTGGTTAGCTATCAATCCCTGTGGAAATTTTCCCCGCATCTGTTATTCGGCATGGCCAGATTGGCAAAGCAAGAGGTCGAAATCAGCCTTCTCACGGCTAATGCTATGTTGGGGTAAGGCACTACCTGTCTGTCAATAGCAATGTCACTAACGCCGAGCATTAAAGATACAAATACAAGTCCGATCACTTCTGGTTGGGAATTCATGAGTACCGCCCCGATGCTATTGTTATCGACTCTGGCAGCACGCATGGCGGGCCTTTCAAACTCGACATGGGCCGAAAGACAGTTGCCGATGAGTCCTACATCCGTGGCCTAACGCCTTACATCACTGCATGTGCCCACTATGGCATGAAGCTCCTCATCAGCAGTGCCGGTGGTGACGGCAGCGGCAAGCACGTTGCTGACATTCTCGCTATCGTCAATAAGATTATTGAGGACAATGGCTTCAAGTTCAAAAGTGCCACGATTGGTGCCGCGGTTCCCAGGGAGCTCATTCGGCAGAAGCTGAAAGACGGAATTAACTCAGCCGTTCATGTCGCTGCCCAGATGGGACCTGAGCCGTAAGTCAAATTAGAATCAGTCTGAGCAAAGCTCTCACTCACCTTAACTTCAGGTTCATCAAAACTCCCAAAGAAGAAACACCAGACATCATTGTTGCAGGCCGCGCATACAACCCTTCGCCATTCGCAGCGTTTTGCATGAACCTCGGTTTTGAGCGAGCCCCTGCGTTCCATCTGGGCAAGATCCTCGAATGCGGCGGCCAGTGTGCTGTACCCAAAGGCCGCTCGATGATTGCCACAATTCGCAAAGGTTCTTTTGATTTGACGCCCTGGAACCCTATTGAGAGATGCACTCCACTCTCAGTATCAGCACACTCACTTTATGAAAAGGCAAGACCAGACCAGCTTCCTGGCCCGGGAGGAGTGCTTCATCTTGATCAAGCGCAGTACAAAGTACTAGAAGATGGTTGAACAACCCGCTGCTGGGGATCCCGCTTCGTTCCAACTCCGGCTTATCAAATCAAGCTTGAGGGTGTATCGCTCGTAGGGCATCGGGCGATTTTTATTGATCGCTTCCGAGACCCCATTCTGATCTCCTAGATAGACGACTTCCTCGAGAACCGGGTACGGAACTACACCCGAGGACTGTTCCCGGAGCTCGATAAATTCGACGATTGTTGCGTCATCTTCCACGTTTATGGTCGGAATGCCATCATGGGACCTTTGAAGCAAAACTCTGAGCCTGCTCACGAAGTTGGCGCGCTTGGCGAAGTCGTCGCTCAGGCTCCTCCAGCAGCGAAGGCTATGGCTATTTGCAACAGTGCCCGCGTCTCCTGCCTTCATTTCTACTACCCTGGCATTCTTGCGACTACGGGAAACCTCGCAAGCCCGCTGAGTCCACATGAGCAAGACGCCGGTGCCGTTTTCAAATTCAGTCTGTACCACTTGATGGGGATCAAGGATACGACTGGCCCAATCCTCTTCCCAATCAAGTCATCTACGGTCGGCGCAGGCACGTTTGTGAAGGATGAAAACTTTGGCAAGCAGTTCTTCAACCTCGACAACTTTCTGAACATCTCTCGGAACAGATCAAGACCAAGTCAGTCCCGACCGGTCCTGCTACAATGAGAGACGTGGCAGGCGTTGTGCGGTCCAAGAATAGCGGGCCTTTGAGTTGACGTTTGATATTATTTTTAACGATGAAAAGCACTATCAGCGTGTCAGGAGGGCCAATGTTCTCACTAACGAGACCATCAAGAAGTTAAATCATATACAGGATGAAAACATGGTTTTCAACATTTATTTTGATCCGGCGCTGACATGGAAGTGTACTATCAGAGGGCCATGGGGACAAGGAAGTGTAGGAGAGCGCGATACTTTGGAAACTGCACAGCACGCACCATAGTTGTCCGTTGCGGTGCCTGCTGTTGGGGCCTAGTTGCTCCCAAGGTAGTCAGATATATCAAAAAGAAATTCCAATGAGAAGACCCTAAAACCTTGCCGCAATCTTCCATCCAACTGCTAGGACTCGTACGGAGGCGTAGCAGATGAAAGCCAGGATGTAGGAAGCCCCAGAGAAGATGATCAAGCCATTCCAATTCTGGCCGTTCTTTCCCGACTGCAAGATGGCCCCTCCGATGGGAAGACTGCTCAGTGTCCCGAAGCTAGCCATCATCATCGCCGTCGATAAGTATCGTCCGTAATCCCGCGCATCGCATAGTTGCCCAAGGCATACCGGGACAAGGCCCAAATTGCTGCCGCTTGCGAAACCAAACAAAGCAACGAAGGCGAGGAGCATGGGTTGAGACCCTTTGGACGGCAGCCACAGGCCAAAGACAGTGATGAAGCACATGGCAATGGTGATGAGAATGACATTGAAACGGCCGTACTTGTCGGCAGCAAGGCCTGGTAGGAAACGCCCAATCGCGGAACCAGCGTTCAGAATCGAGAGGATCGTGTAGGAGTGGACAGTACTCTTCTGTGTGCTCGCTGCGTATGAGATGATGTAGGTGATGGGCACAAAGAGACCCCATTCCATGAAGAAGATGCCGACCGCTGAGAGGGTGAACTTCACATTCCGAAAAACGCTGAAGTCTGGCCAGATGGAAGTTGGTCCGTCCTTCTTCGGAAGCCGAGACCGGATGAACAATGTCGCAGGGATCGTGAGCCCAAGAAGGATGAATCCCAGGATCCTTGCTGTCGGGGCGAAGCCGAGTGTCGGAAAGAGATTCTGGAGCAAGATCGGATATACAATTCCGCCAATCGAACCGGCAGTCGCGGCGACACCAGTTGCAAAACCACGGCGGTTGTCAAAAAAGTGGGCAATAGCGCCGTAGGACGGGGAGTTGAGCAGAGCGCCGCCCAACCCACCAAGAATTGAGTAAGCAAGTAGAATCTGATAGTACTCTGAGGCTTTGTTGTCAGTAAACCCTTACTTGCTTTCTCATTATATGGTTGCACAAACCTTTACACAGGCTCAGCAATAGAAGACTTGCTGAGATACACAGTCCACCAGCAACGACGAGTCCACGGGGACCATAGGCGTCAAACAATGGCCCGACTTGAATGCCGACGAAGAAGACGATAAAAAGATACAAACTGAAGATCCATCCGATCTCCGAGGGCGAGTGATCTGCCAACTGATGTTCTGAGAAATACGACTCGAAGACCGCGGCGGAGTTGATGAGACCGAAAACAGAAAGCATAGCGCAGAACGATCCGAACACCACTAGCCACGCACTGAGACCGCCTTCCGGGAAGGTCAGTTCTGTGACGCTGGATGCATCCTGTCCTCCATAGTGACTTCTGTCCCTTTCCCTCGATCTTGATCTTTCTTCGTCGTATGACGTTGTCTCTTCGTACCTAATGGCCGATGTCGCCGATGAGCCAGGGTTGTTGATGTTTCTCAGTAGTATGGAAGAAGTTTCCACCGCTGTTTTTGACATCTTGTGTCTGACTCAGTGCAAGTTGAGCTCAATGGACCAGATGAGAGCGGGACTGGTTAAGTGCGCATCAAAAGAAGCGGTAAAGACAGTTGTCCGAGTATCACGGATATGTGCTCAGCTAATGCAAACAGCCCTTTCCGAAATAGTCCGAGATGGGGGTTGCTGAAGAAGCCGCTTTGCAGGTGAACTTTTACAAGCAGGGTGAACAACAGAAGGTTGTAAGTGTAAGAAATCGGAGTTTTGTGATGGAGTTCACAAAACTCCGATTTTGAAGTTAGCCTACTGGTTCGCCGGGTCCACCTGCACGTGCTGTTGGTCAATTCAAGAGACGTGAGTCGAGCATTTATCCGGCGAATGGCGGGAGGAATCCATCGGTCTCCGGCTGTCGCTCTATTTTTGCCATTCCCGGCGAACTCGTTACGGCTAGCTCCTCCGCAAGACGACCCTGGAGCGGAGCTCCCAAAGCATGTTGATTGGTGAGAGCGGCGCTCAACTTGTGTGTCCAGGCTGCAAAGCCGGCTTGATGATGATGAGTTTGAAGTCAGGTTAAACGTTTATTGAGAAAAGGTACTGTTTACTTCATCATTTTAAGAAATCCATCTCACAGTTGCCGGTATGAGTCTGCGGTGGAGTGAGCTTGCAGAACGACAGCAGCGAGATGGAAGCCCCACATGGTCAAATTGATCAGCTCATCAGCTTCGAGACCCTTGTCCGTCTAAATCCGTACATAACCGATGTGAGCCCAGAGCCCGGGAAATCACCGCCAGCTGAGAACATGTTTGTTGAGCAAAATGTAAGATGTAATTACGATGTTCACAAATTTCGCGTACTTGCTCTCGCATACGAGTCTGGCTCAACAACTGTGGCGGATAATGAGTACAGACTTCGACAACGGCAACGGCGACAATACAATGTTATAACGATTGGATAAAGAATATGAAAAAGAAGAACGCAATGAAAGAAAAGAACAATAAGCATGTTCAGAGAAGGGTACTCGGCAAACCCATTTCAAATAGTCAAGCTTTCGAGTGTATTACGCGCTGAAATCACCAACCGACTTCCGAGAAATGCAACTGTTCCATCCAGCATCGCCGGTTCAGGACCGAGGCCGCAATTTTTTAACACTTACAGTGTCATTGTAATGGATATGTACCTATTTACACTTTGTGATCAAATGTGACTCCTTGGGGTTCAGAGGTGTGCGTGTTGAATATAGGCAGTTATTTAACACGCCTGTCAGCGCACGTAGCATGGCGAGTTGGCGACAGGTATTTTCTCAGAAAAGGTTAGATAAAGAATGAAACCCATTTTGTGTAGCGCGGAGAAGAGAAGGGGAAAAGCTTAAGATGCAATTTCAGGTCGAAATGGTGCACATGAAAGTCACAGGCCCCAAGAACGGCAAATATTGGGAAGCAAGACATCAAGCACTGACATCACGAGCAGATAGCGCCCGATTGTTGAAGAAGATTCTCAAATTCTGGGTAAACTAGAAAAGAAGTATGTCCGTGAAGAGTCAAAAGTATACTAAAACCAGAGTAAAAGTTTCCCACCCAAGAACTCCAAGCCGATTTAAAAACCCCCCCTTTCATAAAAAGAACAAAGAAAAAAAAGAAGCCATACGGTATCTATTTCTTGACCTTGAGGTCGAAGCGGTCTAGGTTCATGACCTTGTCCCACGCCGCGACGAAGTCCTTGACGAACTTCTCCTTGGCATCGGACATAGCGTACACCTCGGCAATGGCGCGCAGCTCAGCGTGCGATCCGAACACGAGGTCGGCGCGGGTAGCGGTCCAGCGCTGCTCCTTGGTCTTGCGGTCGGTGCCAACCCAGGCCTCGCCGTCGTCGCCGCTCTTGGCCCAGACGGTGGAGATGTCGAGCAGGCTGACGAAGAAGTTGTTGTTGAGCTGGCCCTTGGTCGAGGTCAGAACGCCGGTGTTGGAGCCGTCGAAAACGGCGCCAAGGGAGCGCAGGCCGCCGACGAGGACGGTCAGCTCGGGAGCGGAGAGGGTCAGCTGCGCAGCCTTGTCGACGAGGATCTCCTCGGTGCGCGCGCGCGCGGTGCCGCGGCCGTAGTTGCGGAAACCGTCGGCCTGGGGCTCGAGGTAGCCGAAGGCGCGGACATCGGTCTGCTCCTGGGTGGCGTCGACGCGGCCGGCGGAGAAGGGGACGGTGACATCGACGCCGGCGTCCTTGGCGCCCTTCTCGACGGCGACGACACCGCCGAGGACGATCAGGTCAGCGAGGGAAACCTTCTTGGCGCCGGTGTTGAAGCTGGTCTGGATGGCCTTGAGGGCGTCGAGGACCTCCTTGAGCTGGGTCGGGTTGTTGGAGACCCAGTTGACCTGGGGCTCGAGAGCGATGCGAGCGCCGTTGGCGCCGCCGCGCTTGTCAGAGTGGCGGTAGGTGGAGGCGGAGGCCCAGGCGACGGAGGCGTACTTGGAGACGTCGAAGCCCGGAGCCGCGAGGATGTCGGCCTTCAGCTTGGAGATGTCGGCATCATCGATGAGGTCGCCCTCGCGGGCGGGGAGAGGGTCCTGCCAGGCGAAGGTCTCCTTGGGGATCTCAGGGCCGAGGTAGCGGGAGACGGGGCCGAGGTCGCGGTGGAGGAGCTTGAACCAGGCCTTAGCGAAGGCGTCGGCGAGCTCGTTGGGGTGGTCGAGCCAGCGCTTGGTGATGTTGAGGTAGCTCGGGTCGTTGATGAGGGCCAGGTCGGAGGTGAGCATGGTCGCCTTGCGGAACTTGGTCGAGTCGAAGGGGTCGGGGTAGTCGAGGGTGCCGTTGGCAGCCTCCCATTGGTGAGCACCAGCAGGAGACTCGACGAGGACCCATTTGTTGTGCAGAAGAGACTCCAAGTAACCGTTGGACCACCTGCAGGTACATGGGTTAGCATTTGTGTGTGTGTGGTTGGGTGTGTGGTAGTATGCATGTGTGTGTATCACTGCATAATCACCCGACGGGGGCCAAAAATAGATTTTCACGCCGCCTCTTTTGCCTCCCTGCAAGTCTCTCTCAACGTCTCTTCAAGACCTTCTCAAAATGACCGGTCCGGCATATGAGAAAAGGCCTCAAATATTGAGCCAAGAAGAGGGGGGAAGGCAACTCCGACAAGGGGGACATGCAGAGGTCATTTCATTTTTCATCACTTACTTGGTGGGGGTCTTGGTCCAGACGACCTCGAGACCG